TATGTTATGTAATCAACGTCGAGTCATGTAGTTCTATAAATAACCAAAGAGCTCGTCAAAAGCCTTTACTTCTTCGAGTAAACAAGGCTAGGCCAATAAAACTACCTTAGCTAAAGCTGTACGATTGGCAGAAAGCATTTAGGTATAAATCACACTGTTTACAGTCGCTTATTGTTCAGGTAATGCCTATAATATATTGTATAGCCGGCGCCGCTGATTTGGCGGATTTGGTTTTAATTATATTTTATCGGGGATATGCCGCAATAAGTATAGCAAGTGTATTTTCTCTCCCCTTCCCATAAACATCTGTTCTTTCACGACTCGTCGTGCTTATAACTTTTCGAACGTAAATAGTGCACGCGCTTTTTGTCAAAAACATCGGTCATTTTACGTTGAAATTGTAATTCGTTTACTTACAGTAGTTAATTTAATTAATATTAAAGCTGGATTCTTTCACCGTGATGTCATGCCAAAAGGTGTCTTTTCTATTTTTAAAAAAGACCCGCTGTTGATTTATGATTTGGTAATATTTACTACAGTTGTATGTCTTGTATATTTGATTATTTTGTTGTTGCTCAATAACTTTGGTCAAACTTCAGACCAAACTTCTACGCACTGTTACTTATTAACTGGCCATCACTTTTAAAACAGCAAGAAGATAAAGACAACGTGTACGTGTGAGTTATCCATGAAATCATGAATAGTTGGTTTACAAAATGAATTCCGTCTTCGTGGATAAAATTAATGAGTTATAAATAATCTCTCCTGTTTGTGTTAAGCTACATAAGCTCATATCCAGTTGCTGAAGCCTCTCTTTGTAGGATAGTTCACCGGCTTTGACGCTACGAGATGGATCTTGCGCGTCAAAGCCGGTGAACTATCCTACAAAGAGAGGCTTCAGCAACTGGATATGCTCCCTCTTGCGTACGATCGCGAGGTCAAAGACTTAGTATTTTTTTATAAGGCTGTGAACGGATATATTGACATTGATGTCTCAAATTTTGTTAACTTTGTCAATCATGGACGGACACGTAGAGCATTGAGATCCAAATACTTAGAAACTCCGTTGTGTAAAACTAGTACGTACAGTTCGTCGTATTTTAATCGTGTTGTCAAATTATGGAACAGTGTTTGTGTCTCGATTGATCCTTCCAGTTTTACATCGCCATCGTCTTTCAAACTATACCTCAAGATGAGGTATAAGAATATTCTGGAACTAGTATTTGATCCGGACATGACTTGCACCTGGTCACTTAAACGTGATTGTGGTTGTCACAAATAATAAACTAACTTAACTAATCAAATTAATGTGCATGCATTATATTAATATTTATTTATTAAGTAAATATGTTATACAGGGTGCCCCAGAGGGGACCAAAGCTGTTGAGATGGCGTGTTGCTTGGGAATTGAATTGCCTTAGCACTCTGCTGAACCTATAAGTGCATAAAAGCTTGACAAAAGTAAATTTTACGAATAAAGAAACTGTTTAAGAAGTTGCTTTAAATTCCAAAGAGCAGATAATCATGAGCTTACAAAGATATTTTAATTTCTTCAATACTCATATTATATGCATCATGTCGATCATATTTACGTATCTTTGCGTTCAGTTGGTGCTGGGCCGTTCGGATTCTGGCAGTGCGTTGTTTCAGTGTTGTTTTTTTTTTTGGGACACCCTGTACTGTATACTGTGAATTAATTAAAAGGTTTATGTTAGGAAAAGGAGGGGCACCATGCAATGGACTTTACGTCCAGTTTGTGCCTTGTCCGTTTGAGTACAGCTCTTAATTGTATGTTAGATAAATAATTGTTGAATTAATTTGTACTCAATAAAGTTTAACAAACATGTAGGGATTTCCCCCGGTATATTTCTTCTCTTTTGTATGGCTGTTTGTGGTTACGCGTTATCTGACATATACTTTTGGTCCAATTTCAATTACATTTATCCAACCATTTCTGGATGATACATCTAGAACACTCAGGCAGTTCTCAGGCCAAAAAATTCAACTTGAAAGGGGGCCCAACTTTCCCAGGGGAGCGGGGGGGGGAGGAATGCTGGAATTGCGCAACGTGTTCTAAAATTGAGGTCGAAAAAGGTTTTGAAAGTATTTTGAACCCCCCATTATCGCAAAAATAATTTTTGGAACGTTTTTCCCATTTAACACATACAGGAGAGATTATTTATAACTAATTTTTATCCACAAAGACGGAATTCATTTCAATACGTTGTCTTTATCTTCTTGCTGTTTTAAAAGTGATGGGCAGTTAATTAATTAACCTACTAAATAAGCAACAGCGTAGAAGTTTGGTCTGAAGTTTGACTGTTTTCTCAGAACAAATTCAAACTTATTGAGCACTAACAAAATAATCAAATATACAACTGTAATTAATATTGACAAATCAATATATAGAGCCGGGATCTTTTTTAAATTAATTTTAACAAATGGAAAAGACACCTTTTGGCATGACATCACGGTAAAAGAATGGAGCTTTAATATTAATTAAATTAAAACTCCTTGCGAGGTCGTCCTCGAGAGGTTGACGGCTAGAAATTTCATATCTTCGGATCAGTACATGCTATGCCTATGAAGACAGAAATATCACCATTCGATTCAGAAATAAAAGATCAACTAATTCCGAACGATAGTTATAGTCATTATTAACATTATTAACATTGTAGAAATGGAAATACCGTGATAAAAGATGCAAATTTGAAGATACAGGCTTGCAAATAACACTCTAAATAGTGTTTTTGATGGGGATTCGAACAAGACTATTACAAAGACGATATGTTTGAAGGGGTCGAAGTTATTTTCGGGGAAAGGTATGGCTAGTCTATATTTTTGTTCAGACAATCGCGTGAGCTATCCCAACCGGAAATACGACTAAAAAAACGTCAAAACAATGCGACGTTTGCATCGTAATCGTATGACCTTGCAAATGGCCTATGTTTTTTACAAAAAGCGTGTGCACTATTTATGTGAGAACACGAGTTTATGGGAGGGGGAGAGAAAATATACTCGCTATACTTATCGCGGCATATCCCTGATAAAATATAATTGAAACCAAATCTGCCAAATCAGCGGCATCGAGTATCGGGCATTAGCTGAACAATAAGCGACTGTAAACAGTGTGATTTAGACCTAAATGCTTTCAGCCAATCGTACAGCTTTAGCTAAGGTAGTTTTATAGGCCTAGGCTTGTTTACTCGAAGAAATAAACGCTTTTGACGAGCTCTTTGGTTATTTATTGAACTACATGACTCGACGCTGATTATATTAACATACGGTTATTCCGGTCAAATAGGGGTTACGAAAAATTTCTTTAAAAATTCAATTCTAAGTTGCCCAAAAATTTTATTTGATCAATAGCAAGGGAAAACATATTTCTTTGATCTGGTTATGAATATTTTGTCTGAATCGATGTAACAATGGAGATATTCGCAGCCTAATATGGCATATAATAAAGAGGTTCGAAAATAAAAAACATTAAGAAAATCTGTAAAATATTCACTTTTTACAGAAATGTCTCTAAATTTCGTCTGCTAATCAATAAATATCTCTAATTTGTAAAACGAAATCATGTTTTGTGAAATATTCCCACTAACGTGCAAAATAGAGCGATTTTGGTAGTGCCGTAAAATGACCTCTAAAAATCGAAAGTGGCCTGGGAAAACCAATTTCGACGTCTCTCTCCTTCAATATTTATCCGATCGAAATAAAACTTTCACAACATTAATATTTCATATAGGCCTATATTCTGACAAAGTTTGAAGGATTTTGAATTTTCTCATTTTACACGTCTTACCTGACTATTACAGACAACCGCTCTTAAGTAGGAGCGGGCCAGTCAATTCAACCAGGTATAAACTTAAACTATATATATACTACGGACAGGGACCGCGGAGAGGGGGGAGGGGGGTTGTGTTAAGTTTTTAACGGAATGCTTAAAATTAAGATAGTCTTTTACTAGTAAAAAGGATTGTTTTTATGTTTGTAAAAGTCTCAATTGTGTTGCTTTCTATGACTATGGTCTTATGACTACAGGCCCATATTGTCAGTAAGGCTGATGAAACAAGCAACAATGAAATTCACATGACCATGTCCATATATTTTAACATCTGAGCAGCAACATTGAACAAAGCCATTCTGTCTTAAAGTCATACATCCTTAAGTTTGGATACCGACAAAAATGAATACGTATCATTCAAAATTAAAAACAATGAAGACAAGTGTTTAACACTCGATTTGCATCAAACAAGCTCACTAAAATTACCTAAGCTAACACAATTTTTAAAACTTTTTTTCTTGCATTAGCAGAAGACAAAACAAATCAAATGGCGCCTTTCAATTGGACTTTCAGAGGTGAGATCATGCAAAGGTTTTGTTTCACAAAAACAGACGATCTAGAGATCCATTCACCATTAAACCACCCTCACATCGAGTTACCTTGTCTCCGCTTCAATATCGTAATATACCATTTCTTATACTGCTATTCGCGACCGCTCGCCATGCATTTATCTTAGGGTTCCCACGAAAAAAAACAAACAGGGTACGTAACTCATTTTTTCCTACTTTATAAATGTATAAAACACCCTATTAAAACTGGCTACTCAAAATTTATGCTATCAAATTTTGGTTTTCTTGCACCTAGCTTTCTCCTTTCTCGCCACTGCTCGCCACTCGCCTCCTAAAAGCAACACATCAAGAAGGAATTTCTTCATGTGTGCTTCCTATGTGATTGAATCACTTAGCTATTTAATAATACATTACTTTGACACTTAACATTATAGAAGTGGTATTGCTAGAAAATTATATTCTAGTAAATTCGGCCACTTTAACTGCCCTTCTTCAGGCTGCATGCATGACCATCCCCAAAAATTATTGTTGTCATTTTGACAAACTTGACATCTTTGACATCTGAACAGCGACTTGAAGAAGTACAACATGAAGAAGTACAACATGAAGAAGTCATGAAATCATAAGAACAGCAACATGAAAAAGTCGTGCCTGAAGAAAGGCAATAAAAACTGAACTGGCCGTAACTATGCAAAAATACAACATAAAATTTCACAATCATATTTCATTGCAAGAATTAAAAATGTTTTAATTTAATTTTTGTTTAGATAAACTGACTAACTATGGGAACAAGTTTGTCATAGGATTTACTTCCCAATATTACCTGCGTACCTACGGTTACATTGGAATAGCAATTGCAGCTCACTTCGATACAAATGTCACAATTATCACACAATCAACTTCGAGCGTTCCGTTGAACGTCGCCATCCATATGAAAGAAGGAGATTTCTTGGAGTATGCTCTGCCGCGCTCCCTGCGAATGCAAGGAATCCAAAATAATGGTATTCAGGTATCGTCGACAATGAATATTTCCATCGAGTGTTTCAATTATTATACAGGCGGTGATGGATACCTAGCACTACCAACTGACGCACTAGGTGTAACATATGTTGTTGCATCATATACACCATACGATAGCTATGCAAGAGCTAAAATTGGTATAGTGTCAATACATGACGAAACAACCATTTTAATTCAACCAATTAAGAATGCCGTTATTGAAATTGGTGGAACCGCGTATACTCACGCCGGCCCGATCCATGTTTTTTTGGGTACACTGCAGTCCATACAAGTAACGAGTAAATCGGATTTATCGGGGACAATGATATTCGCTTCTAAACCAGTATCTGTCGTCTGTGGGGTGGATTTGGGGATTCCTGGCGGCACTGGAAGTTATGACAGATTAGAATCATTTCTTTTACCTGTCACACAATGGGGAAAACAGTACATCTTAACAACGGTCGGATCAACGAACAAAAAACAAGGAGATATTTTCCGAATTTTTGCCTTTGAAAATAGTACGGTTGTCCACAGTGCATACTGGACCAAAGTTTTGTTATCCGGCACTTATACTGAATTGATATTAGGCGAAAATCTTACATCGTTTGTGAACTGCAATAAACCTTGTCAAGTGGTACAATACATAAGGGGGGAAACAATTGGCTCGAAAAAGGCGGACACTTCGATGATTCTCCTTCCTTCGATTAAACAGTTTAAATCATACTATCGTGTTCTTTGTAGTCATAATTCAGGTTTTTACAGTTCTGCAACAATTACGATTGAGGAACGTTTAACCAACGGTTTGTTTCTAAATGGAGTTAAAATGAGTTATCTAAATTGGATTAAAATTTCGGGGACAAAATATGTTTGGACAGTGGTTGGTATGCCTGGAACAAAACTTGCTACCTTTTATCATTCTTCGCGTGATGGTAAGTTTGGACTGCTGGTGTATGGCTGGAATGGCGATAATTCGTATGCTTACCCCGGCGGATTCACTTTCCAACACTACAGTACCGGTAAGTAATTGTCACAGACTTCGGAAGCTTATACCATCCTAACTTGTTCAGCGTTTAAATAGATAAAGTTCACGTTTACGGCCTAAAAATATGTTGCATTCTTAACAAATTTAACAACATCCTGTGTTAACTGATTTGAAACTTTTTTAATCTTTATCGACAAGCGACATTTTGACGATTTTACGACTCAATTGTTTATAACGTAAATATCTCAGCGCGTATTCACCCCCCTTTAAAACAAAGAATGCCATTGAAATCCTAATAAAATAACCTTTTCAACAGGGGGTCGAATGCCGTCAAAGCATCACACAAACCGAAACAATTATATATTTATCGCTTCCCTGCATATTAAACCACCATCGGCAAACTGTTTGTCAGGTTGAGCTCGGTTTTCTGTGCTGCCGAATACTACGAGACCAGTCAAAGCCTTTATGGCATAATTATGGCTTATGTGCCCGGTTGTTGGCACATAGCCGCTTTATTGTTTTAATCAATTTTTAATAATTATCAGGAAAAATTATTAATTAATAACTATATAACATTTAGCACAGAAAAGGTGGGGGCATTACTAACGCCCACTACACATAACGTATCTATATAAGTTCAACATATCGCGTCCAACAACGGGAAGGAGGGTGGGTAATTCTCTTCCATCCAATTTCTTGATGTGAACTGCAGCCCTCGTGGAATAGGAAAGGGCAGATAGCCCGCTTCACCACTGATAAATACCGAAATTTCCAGTCACGTGACTATACCTAAATTAACTTGCGCGCGCAAATTACTTATTTTGCATAATTAATTTCAACTATAAATTATTCCGGGAAGCAATAAAAACTCTTATCGCTGTGGCAATAAGTTCCTTTATCGCTTCCCTGCATATTAAACCACCATCGGCAAACTGTTTGTCAGGTTGAGCTCGGTTTTCTGTGCTGCCGAATACTACGAGACCAGTCAAAGCCTTTATGGCATAATTATGGCTTATGTGCCCGGTTGTTGGCACATAGCCGCTTTATTGTTTTAATCAATTTTTAATAATTAACAAGAAAAATTATTAATTAATAACTATATAACATTTAGCACAAAAAAGGTGGGGGGATTACTAACGCCACAAGTCTCCTTGGGATAAAGGAGACACACCCCACCTCAACATGACAAATCGTTTGCAGATGATCGTGAAAAATATCTACATATACTGATACCACATGTTACGAAAACCTCAATCTATGTCAGTTTCACTGCACATGCTATGGTCAGTCAAAAGCAATGAACTTGCATTGGTCTACATAATAGCAGTACTATCAATTACCTAGTTGACTATATACTATATACAAGCCTCTACTGAAATAAATATGATCAGCTGAAATGTGAACTTTACCCCTGTGTCAGTTCAATATCCAACCGATCACGAATACGTGTCGCCAGAGGCGATAAAATACCGTATTATACCAGTTTCTAGCGAAATAAATATCATCAGCTGAAATGTAAACCTTACCCCTGTGTCGGTTCAACGTCCAGCGATGACGAAAAAGTAAGATAAAATACCTTGGTAATCGCCAGTTTCGGGCGAAATAAACATGCATGATCAGCTAAAATGTGAACCTTACCCCTGTTTCAGACAGTTTCAGTTCAACATCCAGCCGGCAATGACGTTTGCGAAAAACAAAACATTTGTTGTACATACTGTTATTAACAAACTGGATACATTAAATTTAGAAACGTGAATTGAGGTTATATATATGATAGTCGATCCGGAATGACTGTTGGTGATGAATGAACGTTGGCCGATGCAAGCTGTGTCAACGTAGAAACCTGTATCCGAGATACAGGATTCCCTGAAACACTTTTTAATCCCGATATGTGCCGCGAGTATGCGAAATAAAGATATACTTAAGTCTTAATGCGATTAATTAAAAACAAGCAAGCACCAGTTTACGTACAAATATCATAACAGTCGAATCCCAAAATGGAACCGAATAGCCTTATTATAATATCAACCAATGCAGCATCATCTGTTAAGAACGTTATATACGCTGAATTACCACCGCCTCGCAAATTGCCGAGTGCGATAGGGTATAGCGACTATGCTGGGCCGATTCGGATGCATTTCAGGCCTGGATACATTTTGTAAGATCGTAAGATCAACAAGCCATCGTAACAAGGCACGACGTGGCACGACAGCCGTTCCGCACGTTGTAACCAATAATTTATTGGCGTTGTAATGCCATTGTATGCAATATAGTATTGGTTACAATGGATTTCCAAATCCAAACGCTAATCCTAACTCAAACCCTAATCCTAACCCTAATCCTAACCCCTAACCCTAACCCCACCTTCTAACCCCTAACCCCTAACCCCACCTGCTAACCCCGCAACCTAACCGCAAACCCTAACCCCGGCCAGCTACCCCTCCGGGGAATTACAACATTACAACGCCATTAAATTAATTACAATGGCATTACAACGCCAATAAACTATTGGTTACAACGTGCGGAACGGGTGGGCACGACCACATGCAAAACTAAATTAATTAAGCAAGGCAATCGAGGATTGGATTACCTTTTTACGCAAGTGACTTAATTTAAATTCCGCAGTAATAAATAGCGCTGTCATGCGTAAAGCGTCTAATTCAATTCTTGCGAATGAGAGCTCACGGATTGGCACTCCCAAATATTTGCAAAGAGATAAGAAATCAGCGATGAATGCGGCATTGGTGACAATTACGAAGCTGCCAAGTCGGGAAGTCATGATGCGAAATATTTAGCTGTGTTTTAGCAACCGTTTCTGAAGCCGTATATTAAAGTAATTAAACATGTCGCATGTACGACATCAGCACGAGCGTAGTTTATCGCAATGACTACCAAAATTAACAATATAATTTAGAGAAAATAAATAATGTATTCCGGCGCTTGTTTAGTATAAACAATACCCAAAGGCGAACACGCAGCTATTCCTCTAGACATTCCACCCTCAAATCCAGTTTACATTCGAAGATTTCCCTGACAACAACGTACACTTTCTTGACCTAAAGATTAACTCCTCGGACATAACTATTTTTCGCAAGTCTACACACACAGGTCAATACACGCACCTTTCTAGTTTCACGCCTTTGTCGCGCAAAACAGCATGTATAAGAGCCCTTATCAACCGCGCATACAAGATATGTAACAATGATCAACCACTGAAGTTAGAACTCAAGACTATACGAGATTTTATGTCCTGGAACGGTTTCTCTCGCAACCTGACCAGGAAACTAATTAACGCCTTTACACCAAACCTGGAAGGAAGCAATAACATCCCACACGTTGACCTTACAGAACGCGTAGCACCTGATGATCTACCCAAAATATGGATAAGACTCCCATTTATTGGCAGATATGGCAATATTTTGACCAAAAAGTTCATCAACAAAACTCGCCGTTTGCTAAAGAGTCCGTGTAAATTTATTTTAAACTGGCGAACCACGAACTCCAATTGTTTCCTGTCCTGCAAAGACAAGACACCGGATGAATACAAAAGCTCCGTTGTATATGAATTTTCATGTCCGCGGGTTGCCGAAGCAGCTACATTGGTAAAACAGACCGCTGTCTATACACGCGTCTTAAAGAGCATAGCACGCGAGAAAACTCGGAAATCAACGCCCACATCAACTGTTGTGAACATTTTCAGAAACATCAAATCCGTTATGGAACTTTCACCTGACTCAACTAACCCTATAAACACTAATTTAACTGAACTAATATTTAGGAACTGTAAAATAATTGATAGGTCAGACCACTGGTCTCTATTGTTATTTAAGGAGTCTCTTGCTATACGCAGACGAAAACCTGATCTTAACCACGGTGCGAAAGCTTCCAAAGAACTTTATCATATTTCATTGACCGATTAAGCTCCGCCTTTCTTGCCTTTATAATAGCTGCATCTGTAATTTTACACTATTCTTAATCCTGAGGATGACTACAAACTAGTCGAAACGTCGATTACAAAATCAAAAATGTTATTCGGAGTTACTGTTATTTTGTATTTTCTTAAAATACTGAGTGGTTCCCGTAATTATAGACAGTAAGGTCAATATCTTTGTGAAAATCAGGGGGCGATAAATAGATTTGTCCGCGTTTAGACCAGCAGACTTGGGAAGTACGTAGAGGAGCCTTCAGTTTGTGGCGTTTGGTTTTTAACACGCGATGTAATAGAAAAGAGTATAAAATTTCAATCGTGTTCGTTTGTATATTCGTAACACTCGTGATAACGTTGTCCAAACTGATAAACTCAAAATTCGTAATTTTCGATCTTGCATAACAAGCGTCCATCTTGGTTTCTCCAGAAATTTGGTTACTTCGTAAAATCATCCACAGGAAGAAAATAGTGAAGCTGAATTTAGCTTTTTAGGTGAAAACATGTTGAATTCTCAATAAGATGTTCTAGTTTCAGTATTCGTGACGTGCGTGCGCGCGCGCGGTCGGGCACGAAAGTGCTCTGCGATTTTTTCGCATTTCGAGTTTATTTACTAAAGTTTTCCTCGAAAATATCATCTTTGGTGTTTGGGAAGACATTCGTCCCCAGGATTTTGAAGTTTGTAGAAAGTTTTGTCTGCTTCTGTGCTTGTTTTCTTGTGTTTTGTTGTGTGTTTCTGTCAATTTGAAAACTGTTTTAAAAGTTGGACGGTTGCTGCAGACGTTACACAAGTCAATACGCCACCAGTATGCTGATGACGCAGCGCAAGTTTAAAGTTTGGAACGGTATTGGTGCGCGTGCGCCGCCAATTAAAAGAAGAAATTGCTTGCAACTAACCTGGATAAAGGACGGAGTTCAATTCTTTATGCTTTTTGCAACAATAGTCTGGTGGTGTTCAAAAGTTAAACCATCTAACATTCCTGTCGAAAAGACTTTAAATGGCATTGTAATTAATTCTGAACTTGCGAATTTACCTGAAAAGCTGTGTTATGTTTGGACTGCCACTCGTGACTCAAAACAAAGAAAATTAAATTATCCCATCAACTATCGTTACGGAATTAACCTGAAAATTGATCGCAATCCATCTCATGTTGTTTTTCTAATCTTACTGGCTGGTGATGTGGCTACAAACCCTGGTCCCAGTACTACTCCTCCTCGTACCACTGAATCATCCCCCGGTCCTGATGATGACACTAACATCCACTACATGCGATGTCTGTATTTCAATGCACGAAGCTTAACTAACAAAATTACTGAACTTCAAATGCTCGTTACTGATGTTGATCTACTTGCAGTAACTGAAACTTGGCTTAAACCTGAAATCGAAAACTGTGAACTCTTGCCTGGAAATGAATTTGCCATCCATCGTTGCGACCGCACTGAGCGAACTGGTGGTGGAACATTGTTAGCTGTTCGGAATACCATCCTAAGCGTCCGAAGAAAAGATCTTGAAAGCAATGCGGAAATGTTAGTGTGTGAAATTCATCCAGAAAATAAGGAAAAACTTCTTGCGATTGTTTTCTACAGACCACCTGACACGGACTTGAACTACATCAAGCAACTCAAGAAATCCCTGCAGCTTGTTCAAAGCAACAACAAATTTGACCAGGTCATCATTTGTGGCGACTTTAACTTGCCTCATATTGATTGGACTACCGGAATAGCTACAACCAACGATCTCATTACCAACTACTTCACCAAAACAATCAAAGACAACTACTTGTGGCAACTGGTTAACTTTGCAACTAGAGCAGATA